AGTCACAGTGAGACACAGTCACAGTGAGACACAGAGACACGCGGAGACTGAGACAGTGAGACACAGTGACACAGTGAGACACAGTGAGACACAGTGAGACAGAGACACAGTCACAGTGAGACACAGTCACAGTGAGACAGTGAGACACATTGAGACACAGTAACACACAGAGACACGCGGAGACAGAGACAGTGAGACACAGTGAGACAGTGAGACACAGTGAGACAGTGACACAGTGAGACACAGTGAGACACAGTGAGACAGAGACACAGTGAGACAGAGACACAGTGAGACAGAGACACAGTGAGACAGTGAGACACAGTCACAGTGAGACAGTGAGACACAGTCACAGTGAGACAGTGAGACACAGTGACACACAGTGAGACAGAGACACAGTGACAGTGAGACAGTGAGACACAGTGAGACACAGTGACAGTGAGACACAGTGAGACAGTGAGACACAGTGACACACAGTGAGACAGAGACACAGTGACAGTGAGACAGTGAGACACAGTGAGACACAGTGACAGTGAGACACAGTGAGACAGTGAGACACAGTGACACACAGAGGCACGCGGAGACAGAGACACAGTGAGACAGTGAGACAGTGACACACAGTGAGACACAGTGAGACAGTGAGACACAGTGAGACACAGTCACAGTGAGACAGTGAGACACAGTGACACACAGTGAGACACAGTGACACACAGTGGGACAAAATCAAAGTGAGACAGTGAGACACAGTGACACACAGTGAGACACAGTGACACACAGTGAGACACAGTGAGACAGAGACACAGTGAGACAGAGACACAGTGACACAGTGAGACAGTGAGACACAGTGACACACAGTGGGACAGAGACACAGTGACAGTGAGACAGTGAGACACAGTGACACACAGTGAGACAGTGAGACAGTGACACACAGTGAGACACAGTGAGACAGAGACACAGTAAGACACAGTGAGACAGAGACACAGTCACAGTGAGACAGTGAGACACAGTGACTCACAGTGAGACAGAGACACAGTGACACAGTGGGACAGAGACACAGTGACACACAGTGAGACAGAGACACAGTCACAGTGAGACAGAGACACAGTCACAGTGAGACAGTGAGACACAGTGACACACAGTGAGACACAGTCACAGTGAGACACAGTGACACAAAGACACAGTGACACAGTGAGACACAGTGAGACGGTGACACAGTCACAGTGAGACAGTGACACACAGTGAGACAGAGACACAGTGACACACAGTGAGACAGAGGCACAGTGACACACAGTGAGACAGTGAGACACAGTGACACACAGTGAGACAGAGACACAGTCACAGTGAGACAGTGAGACACAGTAACACAGTGAGACAGAGACACAGTGAGACAGAGACACAGTCACAGTGAAACAGTGAGACACAGTAAGACAGAGACAAAGTCACAGTGAGACAGAGACACAGCGAGATTGAGACACAGACACAGTGAGACACGCGGAGGCAGAGTGAGGAGACACGCAGAGACGGAGTGAGACACGCGGAGACAGAGGCCCAGGTAAGAGTTATGTCTCTGTCTCTCTGGGGTCTCAGGCAGTATCTGTCCTCCTGTCATTCAGGGTTGGTGTCCCATCAGTTTGGTGTTTATCCTGCTGTCTGTTCAACTGTTAGGGTTGGTGTCTCATCAATTTGGTGTTTATCTGGCTGTCTGTCCAACTCTTAGGGCTGGTGTCCCATCAGTTTGGTGTTTATCCTGCTGTCTGTCCAACTGTTAGGGCTGGTGTCCTATCAGTTTGGTGTTTATCCTGCTGTCTGTCCAACTGTTAGGGTTGGTGTCCCATCAGTTTGGTGTTTATCCTGCTGTCTGTCCAACTGTTAGGGCTGGTGTCTCATCAGTTTGGTGTTTATCCTGCTGTCTGTCCAACTGTTAGGGTTGGTGTCCCATCATTTTGGTGTTTATCCTGCTGTCTGTCCAACTGTTAGGGTTGGTGTCCCATCAGTTTGGTGTTTATCTTGCTGTCTGGCCAACTGTTAGGGTTGGTGTCCCATCAGTTTGGTGTTTATCCTGCTGTTTGTCCAACTCTTAGGGCTGGTGTCCCATCAGTTTGATGTTTATCCTGCTGTCTGTCTAACTGTTAGGGTTGGTGTCCCATCAGTTTGGTGTTTATCTTGCTGTCTGTCCAACTCTTAGGGCTGGTGTCCCATCAGTTTGGTGTTTATCCTGCTGTCTGTCCAACTGTTAGGGCTGGTGTCCCATCAGTTTGGTGTTTATCCTGCTGTCTGTCCAACTGTTAGGGTTGGTGTCCCATCAGTTTGGTGTTTATCCTGCTGTCTGTCCAACTGTTAGAGTTGGTGTCCCATCAGTTTGGTGTTTATCCTGCTGTCTGTCCAACTGTTAGGGTTGGTGTCCCATCAGTTTGGTGTTTATCCTGCTGTCTGTCCAACTGTTAGGGCTGGTGTCCCATCAGTTTGGTGTTTATCCTGCTCTCTGTCCAACTGTTAGGGTTGGTGTCCCATCAGTTTGGTGTTTATCCTGCTGTCTGTCCAACTCTTAGGGCTAATGACTCTCCTCCGTGTCTTGTCAGGGTCAGTGGTCTCTTCACGTCTCTCAGAGTTCGTGTCTCACCGAATGTCCGGCTCTGTGTGCTGTTTGGAACAGAGTTCTCTCTCTCTGTGTCACTCGGGGCTCGTGCCCTGTCCGTTAAGGGGTGACGTCTCGTTGTCCGTCGGCGTCGGTGCCTGACCTCATGTCCATGTGTGTCATGTTTCGTGTCTTGTCCGCCAAGACGAATGTCCACAGCAATGTCTAAACAGGGCTACTGTCTTGTCAGGGCTCAGTGTCGCCTGCCCCAGTACTTTTTTTCTCTTCTCTGTCAGGTTTACTCGCGACAGAGTCTCCACATTTCTACAGAGCGCAGCCATCAAAGTAACAACTATCCGTGTGCTTGTGTCTTGATTCCACGGACTCTTCCCTCCCCCCCCCAATCGGTGACATCACTTTACCTGTATAAGAATATAAGAATACAGGTAAACTGCTGGGGCTCTGCTGTCTGCCGAGGGCTGAAATGCAGCAAGCGGGCATCGGCGGTGGCAGTTTGGTGCGCAAATATTTGTCCAGGGTCACAAAGTGGCACCAGCGCATTGATTTTCTTTTATGCTCCGGAGTGACGCAAGTGCTGACGCGTCCCTCGGGTCACCGTGGCTTGCAAGCACAGTGGCTTCATTGTTGAGTTCACGGTGCCGTCATAAAACACGCCCGACGTTCCAGGTTACCCCCCCCCCCCCCACCGCTGTGGCTTAAACACAGCAGCACCCTTGACTCTGTCGAGCAGAGAGAGAGAGTGGTGAGTGAGTGAGTGAGCGGGCTGCGATTGGTGGGCCGAGATTGGTGAGCTGAATTTGGTGAGTTGTGATTGGTGAGCCGAATTTGGTGAGCTGCGATTGGTGAGCCGAGATTGGTGAGCTGAATTTGGTGAGCTGCGATTGGTGAGCCGAGATTGGTGAGCTGAATTTGGTGAGCTGCGATTGGTGAGCCGAGATTGGTGATCTGAATTTGGTGAGCTGCGATTGGTGAGCCGAAATTGGTGAGCCCGCGACTGGTGGGATAAAATTGGTGAGCTGGACTTTGTGAAGCGGAGATTGGCGAGCTGAAATTGGTGGGCTGAGTTTGGTGAGTGAGCTGGGTGGGGCCTCACAAGGTGTGGCACGACAAGGATGACACATTAACCCTCAGCGCACGAACCGGATGATGACTTTAATGAGCATGGTTGGACAGAGACTTCGCTGGCCATGGATTGTCATCATTTTATGCCCTCTGCCCCTGCTGAATCATTCTTCTGTTTTGAGGCCACTCCATTCCTCGATGTCATGAGTCCATTTACGGCTGTTCCTTCATTGCAAGCAGGTCAGAGTTCACTTGAGATTGCGAGTCTCACACTTTTGGGAGACTTGGGTTACAGGGAAATGTGGGAGTACAAAGGGACTTGCGCAACTTAGGAAATTAAATATAAATTGTCATGAATCTCTACGACCGCGCGCTAAGTTAAACGAAATCTTTAACTATCGGTAAAACAAAAACGTAAAGCAGATGCACTTTCCAAAAACTGAAAGGGTAACACAAATCTGCAGTATTTTACGCTCGTTTTCCCTCGCGTCTGTCGTGAAGATGCGAAGATATTCCAGCAAGTATGAAAAATAAGAATAGGTGTTTACCCTTTCTGGGAATAAAACAGATGCTGAGATGTTGAAACACCAAATAGAAAACCATTGCAAGGAATCAAGTTCTCATTAACCACACACGGTACTTGTGGTGGGCATGCAAACAAACATGCTCTGATCATATAGACGCGTGAGCCAGCCAACAAACCAACGCGCACTCCGGTTGAGAGCGCTCCCCTGATGTTTTTCATTGTCGACGTCTCCACTCCTTGATAACGAGCCGTAGTCTCTTCACAGGTTGTAGCCACGCTTTGATTCCGCGTTGCCGTGGTGCGTTACTGCCAGGGCTTCTGATGCAATTATGTGGCTCGACTACCTCAGTGTTGAAGTATGGCTGTTGCTCCACATCAACATCAGCCGCACAAAGAGGAACATTGCCTGGGCTTAATACATCTCGCTCATAGCGCTGCGGGTCGCTGGTAGACTGGAGTTGATGCCACTCGACTAGAAGCCACATGTCACACCGAAGAGGTATACCGGATGTGGTGGCCCGGTTGCAGAGACAATTTTCCGGGTCACTGACTTGGCTGGCATGAACCCTTGGGTCATATCGGTGGCCGTCTGGCCCAGGTGGCACGCGCCGTCGCCCATCGTGCAGCAGCCACACGTCGCCGCGGGAAGCCGGGCAGGATGCGCACGACGGAGACGCCGCTGTTCGACCCGGCGCTGCTGACCTCGTTGGACTGGAGCCACAACGACGTGGAGTTCAACCCCACGATCTCGCCGGCCTCCCCCGGGGAGGGCCTCGTGATGAGGCCTTTGTGCACGGCCGACTTCAATAAAGGTACTTAACAAATTATTTGTTCAACATTTTTTTTCGTTTTATTTTACCGGGGAAGGCCCACTGAGCTGTGTATCTCTTTTTCAAATGCGACTTGGACGCGAATGATAACTCCACGAAGTGGCTCATCGCGTGGTGGATTATAGCGGCCAAATACTGAGGGGGTGCTGGGTGCAGGCCTGCAGCCTGTGTGGTGCTGCGTGAGCCCTGGTGCAAGGGATGAAATGTTACCTCCCTGTGTGGGCCCCTCTGGCCTCTGGACCCTGGTGTGTCGTTGAACCGCCTGCAACACTCGACATCTACACTGCTGTGTTAGAGAATACGGCAGAATGTGGCCAGTGTTGGAGAAAGTGGATAACCTTCCAGCCATTCCTTCACCGTGTGTTTGTTTTGTTGTTATGTGCCCCAGGCTTTATGAAGGTTCTGTCACAGCTGACGCACGTCGGAGAGGTGACGGAAGAGCAGTTCATTGGTATTTCATCTCAGCCTACATACTCTGTTCTTTATTGTTTGTGGCTGTAGTTAGGCAAGCGGAGCAGAGAGCAACGAAGCTGTTGTCTTTATCAAATTGCACGCAACTCAACTCTTCAAAAACAGCAGCAACATATGATTTATATCACCCAAAGTGCAGACGTCATCATGTCTCGCCTACGCAATGTGACTGTAAAATGACGTGAACACTCGTAGCAATGAACATGGTCCACACCCTTATCCCTCCTCTCCATTTCCCCTCTCGTGGGACATCTTCACCACACAACAGAACTTCTCAAACCAGCCCCCTCCCGCCCCGCGGCTGCACCGTGCACTCGCACCAACAAGGATAACTTGATTCATAATAAAGGTTTTTGGGTTAGATCGCGTTATTTATAAATGTGTCGTAGCCCTCCACCACCCGACACGGCCAATCAGCAAAAAAAGTGTCACGTTGACAAAAGACAAATAATTCACTACTTTAGCCCACCGGTGTGTTGAAGAGTGAATCCACAACATTTACAGTTTGAGTACATGCCGTGTCGGGTGGTGGAGGGTTACGACACATTTATAAATAACGCGATCTAACCCAAAAACCTTTATTATGAATAATATTGGTCGCGAAAGCCTACGTGTTAGAAGGATAAATTGGAATGTTCTATTTTGCTCTGTTTTTTTTTTTATTCAGTCAGCTCGAGCATTGGCATGAGATTGCAAACAAAACTAACACTGAACGTGACTTATGGAGCCGAATCCTATAAACAAATCAGCATTCGGCTGAAAACATCATAATAAATATAGGACCGCAGTGCTTGGGCAATTGTTGGTAACACCGGCTCCTCACCACGTGTCCGATGCATTCCAGCTTGCCTGTGGTTCCTTGGCGATTGCGAGATGTTATTTGCACGAACGCCGACGCTATGCGCTCTTTAAACTAAGCTGTAAAATATGAATGGTTGCTATGGGCGTACACGATGAACTTGACCTTTGCAACTCGGATTCTCACTGCGGTGTTGCCGCCCCCCCCCTCCACCCCCCGGCCAACGCTGTTCCTCTTCGCAGCGCGGTTTGAAAGCTTGAAGAAGGCGGGGGGCTACTTCATCGTGGTGGTGGAGGACACCAAGCGGGGCACGATAGTGGCCACGGGAACCCTGATGGTGGAACAGAAGTTCATCCATTGCTGCGGCACGGTACGCTCGGCTCACCGTTGATAACAATCGTGATGATGGCGCTTGTTAAAATCTAGAGGTTCATAAGCTTGTGATATACGCATCGCATCTATGTGATTTGATTCACCCTTGTTTTGTGTAATGGGTTTGTCTGCATGACCCTTGCAGTCAGCAGTTGGCCGCTACGTTACTCACAATATATATGAAAATAAAATGCGGTCGAGTCTTGATTCAAATGGGGGCGACCCTGAATCACGACAGCTCTCCGTCGGAAGCGCACGTGCTCGTGTTTCCACGATCTACAGTCTCGTCACACGCAGGGGACATCTTTGTGCAGAGTTTAAAACTATTAAGAACTTTTTATTTTACCAGGTAAGGCCCGCTGAGCTTTTTTTGTGTTCGAAGCGACCTGGCCACACACAAACAGTCCAGTGAAGTGGCTTATCACGTGAAAATGTATTGCAGCCAAATACGCAACGCGTTTCTAAACGCGGAAGGGGAAAACTGGAGGGTCCGGAGAAAAATTTATGCGACCGCAGGGAGAACATGCAAACTCCATTTAAACAGGCGTCGGGGTTGGGATCAAGCCCCCATGACCTTGTGGGCTTGATCTCACCACCGCAGCACCCTCATCTCTGTATATAATACTTGAATACAAAAATACGATTTGGATTCATATTGCAACCGTCCATGTGCAACCGCATATTTCAAGATGCTGTACACAGCGGGGGATAAGTTTTGTTGAGAGATTGAGGTGGCCGTGGGCAGAGGTGGAGAGGGAGGCCTTGAGGCTCGACTTGAACTGGGGAGGGAGTCACCAGCACGGAATGCTGGGTGAAGGGATGTTATCTCCCTCGCCCGGTATGCAGGACGTCGTCGGTTCGATCCCGACCCCTGACCCCTGTATATTTGGAGTTTGCGTGTTCTCTCCGTGGTCGCGTGGATTTTTCTTCGGGTCCTCTGTTTTTTTCTTCCACATTTATAAACGTGCGTTTAGATTATTAAGTTATACATTTACACATGATGAGCCGCTTCGTTGAGCTCTCATGTGTGGCCAGGTTGCCTTTAAAAAAAAGTTAATAGCTCAGCGGGCTTTACCTGGTAAAATAGAATATCTTTTGTATGAACTTTGGGGGCAGCAGAGGAAGTATGAGCGAGTTCCCGTTGAGCGAAAATTGGTCGGGGTTGTATATGCTAGCAGGCAGGTGTCTGTTGAACACTGTCCATGTTTATTGTCCTTCCCCCTCACCTCCGATTAGCACGGTTGGCTACGTATGGTGTGTGAGAAAGAAGTTGAACATACGCACGAGCACACTGAGCTATGAGATGCATTCACCAGCAGAGGGCACTACAAGTCCGCTGTTATGAGACGTATGTCAGGTCCAACACGACTGCTTCAGGATCGCAGCCACTCATTACTACAGCAATACCCCGATTTACGTCTCTCCCCCACTTTTACGTCGTTTCGAAAATATGTCGTCACTTATTAACGCCACCGCTACCTGATTTCCGTCACCTCAACCCACACGTCGCCGACAGCATCGCCCGTCCTTTCTCGTTATCCGTCGCCTCTCGGCCTTTCGCCTCCGCCTACTTGCTACCTTGTAAATCGCTTTGATTTTACATCGTTTCGATATCCGTCATCGCACATTTCACGAATGCATCCCAGACGTAAACCGGGGGATTTCTGTAATGCCCCACTGAGTCTCGAGGATCTTTTTCAGGAAGGTCCTGCCAAGTTTTTGCAGCTTTGTATGTTGAACTTTTTTTTTGTTGTCCAACGTACATAGCCAACAAACTAAACGCAAAAAGCAGCTCTAAAGAAATCTAATATCAAAAGGAAGAGAGTGTTGCAGACGGCCGCGGAAGCGCTTCTGAAAGCACGTGATGCGCTGGCCATCTTTGTTCAATGGCTAGCCAAAGCCGTTGCAAGGGTGACCGGGGTTGGCGTGATGGTTTATGTTTCTTGACGATGTTGCTGCGCGAAATTCCAGTTGAGTCATTTGCAGGTAACGTCTCAGCAGTGGGATGTTTGGCCAATGCCAGTACATTGTTGTCAGGGGCGGAGCCAGGATTTTGACTTTGGGGGGGGGCTGACTTCAATATTCTGAGATATCCAGTGTTTATGTTTTCCAATGGGCGTCACAAATGTATGAAACAAATTTTATTGGATTTGAACGCCGAGTTTATTAATAGGTCGGAGACGCTGCTGTGGCTAATGAGTTCGATAAGTTCGAAAGGCTGCCGCTCAAGCAGCCAGCAGGGCAGCACAAGGTGGCAGCAGCCGGATATCCGGTTATCCCGATTACCGACTTTCCCAAAATTTCAGGGGGGGCTGAGCCCCCCCCCAGCCCCCCCTGTGACTCCGCCCCTGATTGTTGTAGTGGGTTTGTTTAACTGCGGGAGGAAACCCATGCAGAACAGGAGGGGAGAACGTACAAACCCCGCACAGAATGTCAGGAATGGAACCCAGACCCTTCTGGCTGTGAGGCACAAGTGTTCCCACTGCACCGCCCTGCCCCACCGTCTTAAGTTCGATGTACAGTGTTGGCTGCGCAGGGACTGGTATAATTCATCTCAGCAGGGGCTGTGTCCTCCCACCGAGCACACCACATCCGGTACACGGCTCGCTAATTACGTGCCACCTGCTCCACCTACTCCAATCCACCAGAAAGCCGGAAAATATATTCGGTGAGAAATAAATCCCTGAGTGTCGGCAAATGTACCGTGATTCAAAGAGTAAGTTACCCTTGCCTTGTGTGTCTTGGACGTGTGTGTGTGTGTGGGGGGGGGGGTGTCACTGGCAGAGAGGGTGAGGAGCGGTAGTGTGTGGGGAATGATGGTGTAGCGGGTTAGCTCGCTGCGCTACGAACCCGGCGACCCGATCTCAATTCCTGCTCATGGCCAACACCAGTGACGATTATCTGAACTGGTCTGCAGCCATCCCCTAGGTCGACTCAGCCTCAAACGAGTACCTAGTGCGTTGTGTAAACATCATCACTGGGGAGACAAAGGCGGTCGGGCGTGGTGCTGGCAACCCACCCCCTCGTGTGCTGTTCCGGCTTTCATAGGTGCTTGCTAACAGCACTTGCCACAACAGTCTGTTAAGGCTATACGGGAGGATCTTTGTCTTTGTCACTGACAGAGAGGGCGGATGGAGGATGTGGTCGTGACTGATGAGTGTCGAGGAAAACAGCTGGGCAAACTGTGAGTTCCCCTCCCGATCGATATACGACACTTCGCACCACACTACCGCAGTCTCTCTCTTCATTTAACAACGGAAGTAACTGTTACACTGTTCCTTGTCTGATCATCATCATCATTATCATCCCAGGTCATGGCCTAGTGGTAGTGTATTCGGCACTTGTTGCAGAGGTGCCTGGTTTGAATTCGGTGGCCGCCCTGGTTATTACCACGGTCGTAATCATCGTCGACGCCGTCTGCTTCACTGTGGACACTAAAGATCCCGTGACGTCATTCGCAAGAGGCGGCCCTTGTGTGCCGGCGGCGTCGGGGTCCAAATTTGCGGAATTCGAAAACTAAACCACACATTCCCTAAATAGGGATTCGACACTCGGACGGCACCAACCGCCGCCCCCACTACTGGCAGCCTGATGCCCCAGGTCACTCTTAGAAACGAGATTCATTCTGGTCTCCTTTGAGTTCTCAACTGGTTGAACAAATAAAACAGAACTCTCCATTTCTGAATGAAGATCTCTCCCCGTGACGTCGCCATCACTCTGTGTTCCCACGCTGCCGCGTTCCGTCTCGCTCCTGCGTTAGCTAATATTATTGCACCGTCTCGTTGGCGGTGGGTCGCCCTCTTTTCGGTGGTGGTGTTCACCGACAGTCTCCTCTATCAGCCACCATCCCTCTTCTATGTGATGTGCCCTGAAAAAAATCCCACCTCACTCTCCTTAGTGACGAAGTGATATTGTGTTATCTGACCCGCGTGTACGCGGTGCCCGTGTGATACTTCGTGACGATGTACGCACGTTGTGCGCTGTCAAATGTGGAGTAACAGGCACTGGCGGAGCCAGTGAGGGAGGTGGGGTGGCACGTGCCCCCGCCCCCCAATGATCCGATCGAAATCCCTAATTTGGATCGGATCATTGGGGTTTATTAGTAATAAATTGGCATTTTGCGACTGCCACTGTGTAGCATATTATTTTGTGCCAGGGACTCTATGAGATGGTGGGACAATAGTCTGAGTCCATAATTGGCAATAAGTAATGGAAGAGCATTTATAAGTGACTCACAGAATTGTGCGCAGTTGCGTATACAGTACACGACTTCCCTGAAGGCACACACGGTTCGAATTCGACCCTCGATCGATGGCTGCGCCATCGCCGCACACGCGTTGAATAAAAAGCAAGGGACAAGTCCTTACTTACTAACAACGCCTCTATCATTTTCCATTGCTGGAGGGGTTGCCCCCCCCTACCTGAAAATCCTGGCTCCGCCATTGGTAACAGGACTAAGTTTACAGCCTGCACTTTATTTCTGTTGTGATGGGCTGTTCGCATGATTCACTGATTTGATTAATAATACGGTACCAAGCGAGACAAACAAAAATGAGAGAAAAAAAACGGACAGTCAAGGTAAAATTAAAACATCACTGATTCTCGATTCGGATTGCACCCCTGGTCATTGACATTGGTGGATTCGCCACAGGGTGGGGGGTCATTAGCGGCGTCGTGGCTAAACAGCGGTGCCCTCGCGGGGCTGACCACCGGGCATCGCCCGTCTTGTGCCGTCTCCTCGCAGGCTGCTGGTCACCTTGAAGCTGCTGAGCAAGAGCCTGGGCTGCTACAAGATCACGCTGGAGTGTCTCCCCAAGAACGTGGCCTTCTACGAGAAGTTTGACTACAAAACGTCGCCGGAGAGCTACATGCAGTGCCGCTTTCTGGCGTGACGCCTTCCCCCCTCCGAGTACACGGCACGGGACGGAATGGCAATGCTGACGTCCGCTGACCTCTCGTCAGTCGGCCCTACCACCTAGCCCTTCCCAAGTCCTACCACTTAACCCCTGCCACCCAGCCATTACCGCCCATCGGTTACCAAGTCCAACACTCAACCCCTACCACCCAGCCCCAGACACCCAGCTCTCTCACCCAACCGCTACCAGCCAAATCTTCCCGCCCTGCCCACAGAGCCCTTACCAAAGCCCAATAACTCAACCCCTAACACCCAACTCCTACCACCCAACTCCTACCAGCCAGCCATTGCCACCGAGCCCAGGGAGGATGTTGGCATCCCGAACGGGTGAGCACCTATAGCCCTTCCCAATCAATGTATGATCCTTTTATAGTCTGTAAATAACAATGTGAATCTACAGCAGGGTTGCGAGATTTATATTCTGACTCTTTTATTTGTTATGGAGATGCTGCACAATATGGTTTATTCATTACGGACATTAGGGTGTAATATCTCGACTGCGGTGTTGACGATTGGGCTGGTGACCAAAACCTCCGTTTACAACTACACCCTGTGTTGTTGGTTTCACCAGTTGGGAATTCATGGGCAAGCACAACGGCAAGGTCTGTGTGTAATGCCAAAGGGGAAAAAAGAAACTAATTCGAACGAAGGGATTGGGATGATAATTCGGCCGTAAGTGTTGACCACATGATACGTGGCTATATCAGCAGCAGCAAATAATGTTTGTGAAGTAAACCTGGCACACGTTGACTTTCCACGACTCATGGCTCCCCAAGACCCACGGTAGTGCCTTGATAATACGTGACATAAAGCTCATGGATTCCAAAACAGATGAATCTCCGTGAGTGTGTAAAAAAAAAAACGATTGGGTGCTCGTACCTTTCTCAAGAGTTGGGTTTTCCATGTCCCACCGCCGAGCGCCGAGCGCTGCGGCGGTGGCCGCTTGGGAACGCGTCGCGACCCGTGCGGGGATGTCGGCGCCGTCTTGGCCTCCGGCTGTTCCCCCTCGCCGCCCCCCCCCCCCCACCGTTTGTTGACATCATCTCTATTGAAGGAGTCGCCGGTGCAATCGCTTCGAGAAACCCATTATCCTTGGATAAATGACGCGGCTGAGCCGGTGGTCATATTCAAGACGGGGAGCAACGTTGGCGTTGTTGACGTTGCCGCCGCCTAGCGAGCTCTTCCCGCCCGTCCGCTCCCGACCGTCCCGAGCGAGAAGCTTCCGCTGGACGACGCTGCGAACGCCGCAGGACGATCGCACTGCCTTGGGGGGACACCGGCAGTGCCGGGCTTTGTGGCGGCCGTGAACGGACGCCGGGAGAGCGGTGGCCAGGTGCGCCCTGAGCCACTCGCAGGGATTTTGGCGACTTTGGAAAATGCGCGTTCGGTCATTGTTGTCGTTTGAAACTAGCATTTCGGAGTCTCATTTAAGGTGGGGCATTTGGGAGCTGGGCAACTTTCTGGCTGCCTGCTGTACACGTACAGCAGTTTTGTCAGTCCGCTGCTAGATAAACACCTTCCAACGCCACACGGATCATGGGCGGGGGGGCGGTATTTGACGGTACTTCACGCTGGTCAGTGCGGGTTGAAGTGTGGCGAGCGAAGTACTGGTTTTGATGTGCCGGGTGATTTTTATGTGTGGGTGCGGGGCGGATGGGACCGTTCGCTGTACGGACGCATGGTGATATTTATTTCTCTCTTTTTTTACGGTCGGCTATACATGTACGGTGGAAGTTTTACGAATTACGGTCGCTTGCGGTGAAATCTTGCGTGGCGGGATATTGGGTTTATTTTTTAATAAAAACAGAGCCCTGCGCGTGAGCCTGTCATTTCGGTATTTGTCACTACCGTGTGGCTGCCCCTGGAGGAGGTGGGGGGGGTGACTGCACGGCCGTCCAGGGGGGGTTGGGGGTGGCAACTTTCCCCCAGGACTCAACATCGGGTCCCGGGACTGTTTTCGTCACGAATTGATGCTGGGACCGGTTTCCCTCGTGGTGTTCAGCAAGGAAGCCTTCCAGCCCCGGGGCCTTGAGGAACCATCCGCGTAGCCCCATGTGGATGACTGCCTGCGGTCTATGTTCTGTATAAGATATCGCACACGTTACTATTTATTTTGTATGGAGATCCACACAGCGTTATGTATTTACGATTGATTGGACAATACATATCTCAATCGAGATTATACTCAGCAATCATCGCCCCTCCCCCCTACCGGCAGAGTTTGGATCATCCAGTATAGCAAACCAGTAGAGGATGATCAGCGAAACGACACGCACCTCACACACTAACACATACAAAGACAAAGATCCCCTTTGTAGCCTTACACAGACGGTTGGGGCAAGTGCTGTTAGCCAGCACCGCTCCCCACTATAAAGACAAAGATCTCCCGTGTAGCTTTAACAGACTGTCGGGGCAAGTTTCTGTGAGCAAGCACTTATGCAGGCCTGGCACGGCACACGAGGGGGTGGGTGGCCAACACCACGCCGGCCGCCTTTGTCTCCCCATACTCTTGTATAAGCGCACAACTTTATCTGTGATGAACGCTGCACTTTCCGTCTTTTTCACGCAAGGGGCGCTGCAAACCTACGCACTCCCTGCATGAACGACGGAGGCGCAGGGACAGACGTTCGATTAAGTTGGAAACGATCTGCAGACGGCGGTCTTCTCGCACGGCCAGCAGCTCGATGTCGCCTTATCTCGATCCCGCAATCCCAAACGGGTGAAAGTCCCGCATCGAACCGAACCCCCAGCAAGGCCATCTACTTAACGACGAGAGAAGATTCACACGAAATGTCCTTTTCCATTAAGCCTTACGGATGTAAAATGATATAAGCTTTTAATGAAGAAATACAATTATCTAATTCAAAACATAATACAATTCAAAGATGTTTAATTTTAAAACTTCAAAACGGAGCATCGGGTGCTTGCGTGAACGCGTCGTTTATGTGAAATTTTTTTCGTGACTTTCCTGGCCGAAGGCAGTAAATGGTTGAGGGGCGCCTATGGCGCCCCCGAACAAACTCTAGTTGCTAAAGTTTACACACCGCACCAGGTACTCATTTGAGGCCGAGTCGACCAAGGGGAAGCCCAAGACCGGTACAGATAATCATTACTGGTGTTGGCCGCGATCGGGAATCGAACTCGGGTTGTCGGGTTTGTAGCGCAGCGCGCTAATCGCTACACTACCGCTTCCCACACAAACACACGCACTCTAGACACACACACGCTGACATACAAAGGCAGAGCCACACAGAGACACACAGAGCCACACAAACACACGCACTCTAGACACACACACGCGCTGGCATACAAAGACAGAGACACACAGAGCCACACATAGCCACACAGAGCCACACACAGCCACACAGAGACACACAGAGCCAGACACAGCCACACAGAGCCACACAGAGCCACACACAGCCACACAAACACACACACTCTAGACACACACACACGCTGACATACAAAGACAGAGACACACAGAGCCACACAGAGCTATGCAGACACACATAACCACACACAGCCACACAGAGACACACAGAGCTACACAAACACACACAGAGACAGAGCCACACAGAGGCACACAGAGACACACAGAGACACACAGAGACACACAGCCACACAGAGACACACACAGACACACAGAGACACACAGAGACAGAGACACACAGAGCTACACAAACACACACAGACAGAGACACAGAGACAGAGACACACAGAGCTACACAAACACACACAGAGACAGAGACACACATAGCCACACATAGCCACACAGAGACACACAGAGACACACAAACACACACAGACACAGAGACACACAGAGACACACAGAGACAGAGCCACACAGAGACACACAGAGACACACAAACCCGGGCGGACAGCTGCCGCCCGTCACCACGGGACTCTACATCCCATCGCTTTATTCACAACAAGAATGTAAAGATGGAAGTGTTTACAAACCGACTTTTTACGTAAGAAAACAAACAAAAATGAGCATTATGAATTCCTCTTAAAATAAACCTGCTTGCCATCCTTATATTCATCGTCGTCATCATTATCATTATTTTCACTTGAATGGACAAAACGACGCGCGGCAGATAATCCTGACTATGAGGTATTGAAGGTGACGGCTGGCATGGGTGAACGTCACACGATATAAACAGCACCTGCCCACGTCTAATGAACGCACAAAAAACGAACATAAACAAACCGCTTATAAAAATATAAAAAAAAAACTCAATTCCAGGATTCGATGTGGAAACAAGAACACGGAACAGCTTTTGTAAATCTTCACAACACCGTCGTACCCGACGCCACGTGGCTTCGTCTCAGTTCCAATGACCGCGAGAACATCACCCTCCATAAGTGCTTTGCGGTGGTGGGCAGGGCTGGCGGTGCCCACGTGTTGGTTGGATGACGTCTTCCCATCGCCACGGCGCCCGTGGCACGGTGCCACGCGCCAGGCGCCCGATCCGTGACGTCGAAGGCTCGTCACGAAGAAAGGCGAACAAACGAGGAGCCACGTGGTCGGCGTCGTCGACACAAAGCTTTGCTCGTTAAACGACACGGCCACGGAGAGGGGACGCCGAGCAGGGCCGGCGCGGAGCGATCGAGCGGTGGGGCGGTTTGCTTGGCGCCGACACGTGGCGCCGACACGTGGCACCGTGGAGGTGGCGGTGGGGTGACCTCCGGAAGCTTCCTCCCCCGCTCCCACGCTGTCAGACTCCCACGGGTGCGGCGGTAACGCTCCGGATTAGCTTGGCTAAATTATGATGGCGAAATAATTACAAGACACCTTGGCGAATAACCGTAAGACAAAAAAAATACACACGTTAAGTTTAATGCTAACGAAAAAAACAACATCTTATTCAAACCAGCGGCTGCTACGGTTTATTAGTCTCAGTCACACTGAGAAGATGGGTTGCGCCGTGAGTCAAACGCATAAATGCGGGGTGTATATTTATATATTATTTAAACTCAATTAGATTGAGCCTGCTTAGAGCATTCCCGCAAAGGTGCAGCCTGCGCGGAGCTGGGGACACGCACGCCACTCCGGCGACACGCAGGACGGATTCGCGATTCGGCGCGGACGCAAATCATTGCGCTCGTTTAAATCCAGTTCGCCGAGCCGACCGAGGTTACGTCTTCAGCAAGGGAGACCTGTGGCTGCCTAACTTACTCACTTTATCAATAATTTATCCGAGGGCAATCTTGCCAGCTGACAGACACCGACTCGCACGAAGACACATCAACGGGGTCTTTAGCGTCCGCGCTCGCAGCAGACGGCGCACGGCATCGGTAGCTCGGTGCGGAAATTTACCCCCCACGCCAGTGCAGCGATTCCCGCGGCCCGGAGCGTGGCGCATGAGCCGCTTAAAGTGCTAGGGGAGGCCACGGGGCCCGAGGGAAAGCGCACGGCACCATCGCGAGTGGGCAGCGTGGCGCTGGGCGACGGAGCCGCACGTGGAGGAGGTGGTGGCTATGGCTCGAAGGCTGCGGGGGGGAGGGGAGGGGGTTGCGGACGAGTGGGGAGCGGTCGCTTAGCCGTTAGCGCGCTGCGTTATGCACCCGGCGACCCGAGTTCGATTCCCGCTCGTGGTCAATGCCACTGATGATTTTCTGAACCGGTCCTAGGCCTCCCCTAGGTCGACTCAGTCTCAAATGAGAACCTGGTGCGGTGTGTAAACATCGCTGCTCGGCCAGGCGTGGTACTGGCCACCCACCCGCGTCGGCCTTCATAGGTGCTACTCGCTAGCCGCCTTTGTCTCCCTTAGTAGTGATGCTTACACACTGCTCCAGGTACTCGTTTGAGGCTTAGTCGACCTACCTAGGGGAGGCCTAGAGCGAGTTTAAATAACCTTCGCTGGTGTTGGCAGCCTTGAGCTGGGTTCCGAACGCAGCGCGCTAACCGCTACACCACCGCTCCCCACACACACAGTACACACACACAGACGCACTGACATACATTGACACACAATTAAGAAGCCACGTACCCGAACGCGCAAATGCACGCACACAGCAACGTGCGAGCACACTTCACGCGTGCACTCGCAACCGACCAAGCCGCTGCGACAACCCGACGTCGAAGGGGGCGCGCGCATCCAAAAGGTGGAAGATTTTCTGCCAAATCTACCCGAAGAAAAGAATCTCACCTCGGGCCGAGCGCCAGCAGCCGGAGAGCGGCGGACCGAGCACGCCGGCGCGTCCCCAGCGTTCACACGAGCCGGGAGGCTGCTTTAGAGTCGACATTTTAAACGCGAGTTCCCTCTACGCGGCACCGGCGAGGGTTGTGTGCAACGAGAGCGCGGACCGAGAAACGGCCGCGGACGATGGAGCGCAGGAGGCCGGGCGCGTCGACGGCATCCGCTGCCTTGCCGCCCCGCTGGGAGGGTCTCGCGGTCAGAATTCTCAACTCTGTGGACACCGCAACCGTGAGGGGGAAATGCAGACTCCCCCGCAGGTCGCACGGCCAAAAGCGGCACGACCTCCCGACCTCGACTCGACCTCCCGACTCGATGTCCAAACTCGAGCTCCCTGGGCTGTAGCGTCGGACGTGACCTCCAAACGTGACCTCCGCACGTAACCCGCACGGGGGCAGCTCGTAGTTGACCTCACGAGGTCAGTTCAAGCGCGACCTGACCTGGTGGGGTGAAACGCGGCCTCAAATTGTGCAGAGAGATGCCCCCCACCGACTGCTCTCTCGGCGTGGAGCTGGCCTGGCGAGCGTCGGGTTTATGAAGCCTTCCCCCCCAAGGGGATTTACAGTTGCTGGAAACGTAAAAAAAAATAGTTTCCTGAAACGTTGCAATATGACGCTTGGACTTGAGCAACAAACGAAATGATGGACGCCTCACGGGCCGGGTGACAGCGAGCAGGTACATTCCGTGCACCGTGGCGTTACAGTGCACGCTCGACACATTCAGAAGGAGAACGTGGAACGCTCAGGCAGTGACGATACAAAAAGAAGCGGAGAGAGATTCCTGGCGTGGATTTGTCGAGCGCCCTTTCCCGTAGAGCCGCCCCTCCTCCCCCGGTCACCGCCACCGCTCGATGCAGCAGCGGTCGGCTTACTTGAGGTATGAAGTTGAGCGAAGTTACGATCCCCCGACGCGCACTGCCCCCCCCTTCCCCGCTGCGGCCCGTCACCCCCCCCCCCCCCCGCCCCCCCCCGCAGCGCCCGCCGCCGGCGTCGACCCGGCGGCGTCGCTTGCCGTGCCGCTTAACGTGTTTTTTTTTAGACGGCGCGCCCGGCCGCTCTCAGTTCTCCTTCCTCTCGGCCGCCGGCTGCGGCAGTGGCGGCAGCGGCGCGGCGTGGACTCCATTCCCGTAGACGTGGAACGGCAGCGTCGTAAAGAACCCCTCGGGCGTCGAGAAGACGCCGGCGCCGCCGGGCAGCTGCGCCAGCCCCGCGGCGGCGCCCGGCGCCGAGAAGGAGGCGGGCGCCGCGCCCAGCCTCTGCACGTGGTGGTAGAGCATCTCCATCGAAGTCTTGGGGTCCAGGCCGAAGCCCGCCGCCAGATTCGCCGGGAGGAGTCCGCCCTGAGCCGTGAAGCTCGGGTCGGCCGGCGCGTAGCGGATGGTGCCCGTGGTGTAGATGCGTGGCGGGTGGTGCGGGTGGTGGTGGGGGTGGTGCGGGTGGTGGTGGGGGTGGTGCGGGTGGTGGTGGGGGCGGTGCGGGTGGTGGTGCGCCGCCGAGGGTCCGGCCACGCCATGAGCCAGCGGCAGCACCAAGTTGCCGTGCTGCTGCAGCCGCTGCAGCATCTCCACCTCGCCGGCGCTGTAGACGAACGAGGCGAGGCCCGGGACGGGGCGCGCGCCGGGCTTCGCCGCTCCGGCGCCGCCGCCACCGCCGCCGCCGTTCGCGTCCCGCGGCGAAGACAGCGCCGGCTCGGACTGCACGGGCGTGAGGCTGCGGGTGGAGCCGGCGCCGGGGGAGACGGGGAATGGCGAGTCCGCCGACGCCTTGTCGCCGGCCCCCGCGCCGCGCGCCGTCATGCTGAAGGGCGACTCGTTGCGCGAGATCTCGCGGTTGGGGGGGAAGTGCCAGATGCTGCTGTCGTTGTCGAAGTTGAGCGGCTCCGAGCTCTCCGTCTTGATGGCCTTGCATGCCGGCGCATCCTCGGGGGGGCGAGTCCTCCCCGGGGCCGCCCGCCGGGCCCCGTGGTCGCGCCGGCCCGGCCGCCGGCACCGGCCGGACGACGCCGTCGACCGCGCATCGCCGTCCGAGTCCCTTTCGTCATCGTCGTCGACGTCGTCGCCGTCGTCGCCGTCGGCCTCGGCGGGCCTCTGGCTCGGGACGCGCGCCGGGCCCAGCGTGTCGCGGCCGGCCTCGACCTTGACGCTGGGGAGCGGCGCGGGGACGGGCGGCGGAGCGGCCACGGCCGCGGGCGCCGACTCCGGGTCCGAGTCCCCCGCCCCCTCGCTCGAGTCGCCGGAGCCGCGGGCGGCACGGCCGCTCGCGGGCGCCGCCGGCCGCCCCCCGCCGGCAGCCTCCCCGTGGACGCGATCGCGGCCGTTGTGGCGTGTGGGGGCGCACGTCGGCCGCCCGTCGTTGCCCTGCGCCGGCACCGCCGCCGCGTGGCTCCGCCTCCTCCTGGCGCCGGCGCCACCGTCGCCGCTGCCGCCAGGGCTCGCGTGGTTCTTGTCTGTGTGGAGGTTCTCGGCCTCGTCCCGGTGCCTCTCACCAGCAGTGACGACCCCTGTATCGGTGGCACAGCACAAACAAGATCTGCTGATGAGACACTGAACGTCGAAACCGGTTCTGAATTTGTCTAAGCAAGGCCGTGCGGCTGATGGAGGTGAATCGCCTCTACAGGCGGATTCGTAATAAATCCCTTTATTTTCATAATCGTATATATATGTGTTGAACTTCTTTTGCACTGTACGTAGCGAACCGTGCTAATAGGAACACAAAAAGTATATATATGTCAATAGCCACATCTTTAAAGCGACCGATAGCAATAATTGCAGCAAGACCTTGATAATAATGATAATAATAACGAAGTCTGCAATGTTGAGGGCTCAGGATAGATAAGCGTTACGTGCAAAGCAAAAGTCATGCCCATCCACAGGAGGCGTGCAATTGGGAATCTCAGCACGGGGGGCGCGGGGGAGGCCGAAAGCTGACCTGGAGTGGCGCGGTGCGACGACCCCGTGACCCCATCGGCCTCGCCTCGCCGCGGAAGCTGCTGCAGGTCCATGGGGCAGTCGCCGCGCTCGTGGTTACTGCATGGACACGCGAGGTCACAGGGTCACGGGGTGACGGGGTCACGTGCTGACCGGCACATCACAGGTGTTTACTTACTCACACCGCACACAGGGTCACGTGCTGACACCACACACAGGTGCTCACCGTGTATGCATGTATACTGATCGGAGGTTTTCAACCTACATTTGAAAGTGCATAGCTACGGTGGCTTCCTTATGTCGGAAGGCAGAACGTTCCAGACGGCTGTAGAAGCGCATCTGAAGGTGCGCGATGCAAAGGCCGTCTCGATCGAGATCAGCAAGGTATTGTGGTTCGTTTGTGCCAAGCACTTTGTGTACAATGAGTGTGACCGTATAATGTGTTCCTTCAGCAGCCGGAAGCCAATGCAGCTTAGCGAGCACCGGGCGGAGATGGTCAGATCCTGCAGTACGCGTCACGACATGTGCCAAAGAATTTTGTACACGCTGCAGCTGCCTAATGTTTTTACCAGACGTCCCATAGGGTAGTGAGTTGCGATAATCGAGCCTTGTCGTTACTATGCTACACGCCACAATGTTGGCTATGTCAATACTCAATAATGGTCGAATGTGTCGTAGAGCCCCGATATGAAAATGGCAGGGCCTGACTTTATTTTGCACGTGGCGATCAAACGACACACTCCGGTCGAGCATGGTGCCGAGGCTCTTTACACGAGTAGAAAACTGAATACGGGAGTGTGCGACCGCGACACCCGATCCTCCCACAAATTCTTTCAACCTGAATTTAATAGTGGCTTCTATTATGGGAAGGAAGAACATTCCAGACGGCCGCAGAAGCACATCTGAAAGCGTGCGATGCAGTGTAACACGATACACGGGATCACGTGCTAACCGGCACAGCACACAGGTGCTCACTAACACCACACAAAGGGTGACGGACTGACGAGGAGAGCACGCACGTGCTTACTAGGCATGTATGACCAATTTGTTGGATATGAAAATTCCCACAACACACGAAGAGATGTCTCGTTTGGATTGATCTGGAAGCATCGCGTCGGGCAGACGACGCCACGCACGTTGCGTGGAGAGAAGCGCAGCGATGCAAACAATGAAAAGAAAAACACCAAAACCGCATTGAACGCACGGAATTGTCCCGAAGAAATAATCCAAACTAAAAAAACTTCCGACGCGCCTCCCGCCATCGGCTTACCGAAGCAACACACGGGCGCTCACCGACGTGACACACTCGGCTCAACGTGCCGACTGAACGAACCCCACCGCTCGGGCGCCATTCACCGCTCTGGTGGCGTTCACTGCGCCGCGATTCACCGATTCGCCGTGCCTCCCCCTGCCGCCGCAAGGGGGGCCGCACCTGAGCAGGTAGTTGACCCAGACGATGTTCTTGTCGCCGCCGGCGTTCTTGACGTTGATGGAGACGGTGGCCAGCGACTGGATCCACACGTAGCCGCCGTGCCGCTGCATCCAGCGGTAGTACTGTGTCACGCACTGGCCCTTGTTGATAACTGCGGCGGGAGTGTCACAGCGAGGATCGCGGCGTCACACACACCGTGGCAGTGCCACAACGTTGTCACACACCATGGGATAGCCACATTTCGTGGCATTGTCACACACTGAGGTGTCACACATACCGTGGTGGCGTTACACTGCTTCATCACACACAGCGTCGTCTCACCGCATCGTCACATCGCGTCGTCACACGGAAGCATCATACCACTGCAGTGTCACACAGAACAGCAACGTCACACAGATCAGCAACGTCATCACACCGCGGCTGTGGCACACACCCAGGCGTTAGCACACACCGCACCATCGCATACCAAGGTGTCATCACACACCGCACCATCGCATACCAAGGTGTCATCACACACCGCACCATCGCATACCAAGGTGTCATCACACACCGCACCATCGCATACCAAGGTGTCATCACACACCGCACCATCGCATACCAAGTTGTCATTACACACCGCACCATCGCATACCAAGGTGTCATCACACACCGCATCCATCGCATACCAAGGTGTCATCACACACTGCACCATCGCATACCAAGGTGTCATCACACACCGCACCATCGCATACCAAGGTGTCATCACACACCGCACCATCGCATACCAAGGTGTCATCACACACCGCACCATCGCATACCAAGGTGTCATCACACACCGCACCATCGCATACCAAGGTGTCATCACACACCGCACCATCGCATACCAAGGTGTCATCACACACCGCACCATCGCATACCAAGTTGTCATCACACACCGCACCATCGCATACCAAGGTGTCATCACACACAGCACCATCGCATACCAAGTTGTCATCACACACCGCACCATCTCATACCAAGGTGTCATCACACACAGCACCATCGCATACCAAGTTGTCATCACACACCGCACCATCGCATACCAAGGTGTCATCACACACCGCACCATCGCATACCAAGGTGTCATCACACACCGCACCATCGTATACCAAGGTGTCATCACACACCGCACCATCGCATAGCAAGGTGTCATCACACACCGCACCATCGCATACCAAGGTGTCATCACACACCGCACTATCGCATACCAAGGTGTCATCACACACAGCACCATCACATACCAAGTTGTCATCACACACCGCACCATCTCATACCAAGGTGTCATCACACACCGCACCATCGCATACCAAGGTGTCATCACACACCGCACCATCGCATACCAAGGTGTCATCACACACCGCACCATCGCATACCAAGGTGTCATCACACACCGCAACGTCGTCACACACCGCGGCGTCATCACACACCGAAGCGTCGCAACACCAAGATATTTTCACACGTCAAACTGCGATGGCATCATACAACATGGTGTCGTCACACCGGCACATGACACACACCTCGCCATCACACACCGAAGGCGTCCTCAGACACTGCGACGGCATCACACCGTGGAGGCGTCACGCAATGTGGTGGCATCACACACTGCAGCATTGTCACACACTGAGGCATCGCCACATGCCGCTTCCTCCTGTTCCTCTATACTTCTCACGCTCGCATGCACCGGTCACTTGGAGGGTGTGCACCCTGGTTAACTGTGTCTCTTCACTGGATACAGATAAATAAATAGTAAGGAAACAACAACGACGATATTTATACATCGCCGGTGTAAGCGCGATGAGTGGTTTGTAGTCGGGCATCGTCCTGGCCGCCGTTCTGAGTGAGAGGCCGGGGGGCGGGGGGGGGGGGGCGGCACCACGGCGTGGCATCTCGCGTGGCGAGGGATCGGTGCGGCGTGACGTACGGTCGACGTGGCAGTGCCGGATCGCCTCCACGTCCTCGGCGTGGACGAAGTGGTAGCAGCTGCGCCCCAGCAGCTCGCCAGGAGACATGTCCATGAACTCGCTGACCCTGCGGCAGCGAGGTCGGAGTGCGCGCACACACACACAAAGATCACCTGTGTAGACCTTCACAGACTGTTGGGGTGGGTGGCCAGCACCATGCCTGGCCGCCTTTGACTCCCCAGTGGCAATGTTTACAAAATGCACCAGGTACTCAATTGAGGCGACCTCGGGGAGGAGGCCCAGCACCGGTTCAAATAATCGTCACTGGTGTTGGCGGTGAGCGGGCATCGAACCCGGGTTGCTGGGTTCATAGCACAGTGTTAACTAATACACAACACACGCACACACAACCACAACAACTGCCATTCGCCACTTAGTGGCGGTGACGTCACCACGGTGCCTGTGCCAGGCTGTGTGTACACACATGCGCGCACACACACAAAACAAAGATCCCCCGTATAGCCTTAACAGACTGTTGGGGCAAGTGCAGTTGGTGGGGTAGGGGGCCAACACCACACCTAATCGCCTTTGTCTCCCGCAGTGGCGATGTTTACACACCGCACCCAGGTACTCATTTGAGGCTGAGTCGACTTAGGGGAGGCCCAGGACCAGCTCTGATAATCGACACTGGTGTTGGCCGTGAGCGAGTTGCCAGGGTCGTAGCGCAGACACACTCAAAGGCACAACAACAACAACAACCGCCATTCGCCACTAAGTGGCGGTGACGTCACCACGACGCTTGTGCCAGGCTATGTACACCCTGAGGCCACGTGAAGTGTCGAACGCCCGCTGGCAGGAGGTCACGGGGCAGACCCAGGTGCCACGGGTCGACTGACTGAGATGACTGGCTGATGCACCACCTGTGCCCCTTACTGTGCCAACCTGCTGTGCTTTAGCCACCCGGCGCTCCGCTCGTTGTTCTGAGCATCGCTCCTCCGCCCTCCGTTGTTGTTGGAGGGCGACTACCTCCAACTGCCCAGTCGCGTCCTTCACGAGCCTCCTCCACAGAGGCCGATCTTGACACCGCTGGTACACCAGTCATAGGCAAGTCCACTCAGCTCCACGTCCTCCTGTACCACATCACTCCATCTCTTCTCTAGCCCGTGCCGTGCCCGCTTAGCCCCCTCAATCCGGCCGAACAAAAGCTGTTTCGGCATGCGGTGGCTGGGCATGCGGGCTACATGACCCAGCCATCGCAGCCTTCCCCGCCGGAGGAGCTCACCAATGGGACCTTGCCCAGATCTTTCAAGGATTTGTGAGCTCCTCACACAATCCAGTCTGGTTAAACCCAGGATGGATCGTAGGCAGGCCAGCCTAAATGTTTCTAACCGGCGAAGATGTTCCATTAGGGGGGTCCACGTTTCGCAAGCGTAGAGAAGGGAGGGAATGACCGTGCCCGAGAAGACCTGAAGCTTAGTGCAGAGCGACAGACCAGGTAGCTTCCACACAACGTTACGCAACCGATGAAAAGATATTGCTGCTCGACTGATTCGGAGTGAGACCTCTGCTGTTAAACTGGAGCCAGTCATAAGCACACTGCCCAGGTATGGGAAACACTCCACTCTCTCCACAACTGCCCCATCACCGATTGGGAGTTGTGGGGGTGGAGTGTCCAATGGTACAAAATACCCAGGCAGGTGCTTAGTTTTGGTGGGGCTGATGGTAAGGCCCCACCTCTTAGTGGCACGCTCCAGTCTCAGCAGCAGAGTCTCCAACTCCTCCTCTGAATGAGCAGCTATAACCAAATCATCAGCATACATAACGTGGTTGAGCAATAGGGAGCCATCCCTTGACCGCACCCGGGCGTCGATCAGCCTCCCATTATATCTGTACCATTTGGAGATTCCCCCGGTACAGCTATTGAAGGCTTCACGAACTACGTGGTCAAAATAGATGTTAAATAATGTGGGAGCCAGAGGACATCCCTGTCGCACCCCAAGGTTAACAGGGAATGGCTCTGACTCCCGGCCACGTAGTTTTACCCGGGCCCACTCACCATCATGAAGGTCCTTAATGATCGTGAGCAGAGGGTCAGGTACTCCAAAAGCACGAAGAACAACCCAGAGCCCAGGCCTACTGATGGTATCATAGGCCTTGACCAGGTCAATAAAGCAGAGATGTAGGTCTTGTTGGAATTCCCTAAACCTCTGCTGTAGCTGACGGACAGAAAATATGGCATCTGTGCAGGACCGCCCTTTCCTGAAACCGCATTGGGGCTCCGAAAGCCTCTCCTCAGCGTGCCTGGCAAGGCGATGTTGAATAATCCTTGCCAGGACCTTTCCCGGCACACTGAGGAGTGAAATGCCCCTGTAGTTGTTACAGTCTGTGCGGTCCCCCTTCTTAAAAAGGGGGACCACCAGGGCATCCTTCCAATCCTGCGGAACCCGTCCAGTGGTCCAGACTGTTGTTATGATGTCATATAGGGCAGTCTGTGTACAAACGCCGCCCTCCCTCAGCATTTCGCTTGGGAGATCATCTCTGCCCGCTGCCTTTCCTGGTCTCAGACACCGGATCGCCTTCAGTACTTCCTCAACAGATGGCACCTCAGCCAGCCACTCACAGGGGGTGACTTCTTCCAATATTTGAGGCACCGCAGCCTCAGCGGGGTCATCCTTACTTTGTGCCACGATGTTTTCCTGGCTGAGGGATTTTCCCTCCCCCAGGACCTCACAGAAATGCTCAGCAAATCTGCAAACCTGTTCCTGGGGGTCGGAGATTGGATCACCGTTTTTTCCCCTAATGATGGTAATAGTTGTGGCGCTGCAGATTACTTTTTGATGGAGTTAAATAGAGATTTGTGATCACGGGCCACTGAGGCAGACTCCATCTCCTCAGCAACCCGCGACCACCACCCATCCTTGCAGCGCCTTACGGCTCTCCGAACCTCCGAGCGAAGGCTGCGGTAAGCCTCCTCACTCTCTGAAGCGGGATTCTGTAGCCGATGACAGTGGGCCTGTCGCTTTTTCTCAACCATCCTGAACACCTCCTCTGTCAGCCAGGGCCTCTGGGGAGGTCTGGACCGCGTACCCAAAGCAGCCATTGCAGCTGCATGAGTCACAGTCCTAAACCTCGCCCATTTACCCTCGACATCAGGAGGAGTCGGGGACGATGCCAATCCCAGCCGCAAGAGATGATGAAATTCTCGCTTACAACTTTCATCAGATAACTGAGACCAGGCCACTTTAGGTTGGAATGGGGTCCTGGGTGTACACTCACCACCGGAGTGGAAGAATGGCAGGCGCATCTTACAGATGACTAGTCGATGGTCAGAGGGCAGATCAGCTCCACGGTAGGTCCTGGTGTCAAGGACATGGGCTCGCATTCGCTGGTCCGTCACTATGTAGTCCAGCAGATGTTCTTGCTTGGACCCGGCATGCATCCATGATGTTGTGTGGATGCGCCGATGCCGGAACAGCGTGTTGGTAATTACAAGCCCATGGGCTGCACAAAAATCTAGCAGCCTCCTACCGTTGTTATTGAGCTGATCTGGCCCATGCCCTCCAATCACTGCAGACCAGGTGCCAGTATCATGACCAACTCGGGCATTGAAGTCACCCAACATGATGACTCTATCCCGAGGGGCCACTTTAGCCAGCACCTGTGACAGGAGGTCATAGAAGGCATCTAACTCATCGGCTTTGCCTGCATCCCTCCACGGATGTTCATCTTTGGTGGGGGCATAAGTAACCACGACCACCATTCCTCGCCTCTGGTTGATGGGAAGGCGAGCCCAAAGTAGCCTGGGACTTACAGCTTCCCACACCTCACCGCCACGCTCCCACGCCCCCTTCATTCTTTTGTTCAAAAGAAGAGCCACACCCTGTTGTTTGGCAGTCTGCTGCCCCGAGTAGAGGACTGTCCACTCCTCATGGTCCGGCAAAAACAACCCCCTACGTCCTCGTGGTGCCGGACGGGCAACTCTGTCGTGGACAGTGCTGTGGGGGGAGGTCCAATTTTGATTGGCTCCTCCCCTCATGGCATATGTGTCCACCACAGGGGCTAAACGGGGGCTCTGGACGGGTGCGAGGGGCTGGTAACCCCTCCACCTTCAATTAATTACCACTAAACCACGAGTTAAACTGAAATATGTAACTAATAAGCTTGTGCCGGAGGCCCCGGGGGGCCAGGCGTCTATGACGTCTCCTGGCCAAACCCCAATTGGCGGAGCCAGGAGTTTGAATATCTACCCTCAGGGCTCCTCCAGAAATAACGAAAAGCCACAACGGGTGGCCACGTGGAATGTTCGAACACTCAAAGGCACACGCGCACACACACACACACACACACACGCGCACGTGGGCTCACGTGGGCTCACCTGTTCTCACAGTAGACGATCTTGAGGTCGAGGTCAAGGCGCGTGACGAACATGTGGCAGTCAACGCGCACCTCGCTCAGCGCGGGGGGCGGCAGTGCATGCGCCAGCGCTACGAGGCCCAGCAGCGGCGTCGGTGACGGTGGCATCGCGTGCGACAGGGGCAGCCGCACCCGCAGCCGCCCCGTCACGTGGATCACCTGGGGGGGGGGGGGTCACGGTTGGGGTCATGGTGGGAGTCATGGCGGGGTCACCGTGGGGGCCGGGTGCTAAGTGGGGTCGCGTGCGGGTGGTGAGCATCAAGGGTAGTGTCCCAAAACTTTGTCCACAGGGAAACTGAAGAGCAGCACAGACTGACGAACCTAACATTAAAACTACCAATAACATATTTAAGAATCACAGTTCAGAGACAGACAACATCTAGTACTATTAAAATACAAAAAAAATTCAAGCTTAAAATCTCACCAATGGTCCTCATACTATCCAGGACACTTGTTGCAGTGTTGTTATTCCAGTGCCCATAATTATTTCATTTTAAACACGGTGAGCACAAACTGAACGCCGCGAGGAAAATGTTTGCAATTTAAAATAAAGACGTTTCCAGGTGAAATATGCGAGACAACTCAAGCCTCGACCTGCACCGGCTCGCACCCGTTCAGGGTTGAGAGGTCAGCGAAGAGATTGGGGTGGGGTTTGTGGACGAGGCGGGGGGCCGGTGGAGGGGGTGGGGGCAGGGCACCTTGAAGCCCGAGGCCTTGACGTGCAGCCCGCGCTTGGTGAGCGTCGACTTCATGCGCAGGAAGAAGGATCGCTCGCGGGGCTGCTCGGCGGTGATCATCGTTGGGGCCACGGGCTCCACTGCGGCACACGACGACAACAACCTCATCATCATCATCGTCATCATCATCGTCATCACCGTCGTCGCCAACGTCGTCGTGAGCCACGCTCTACCCACCGCTGAACGAAAGCCTCCCTCACCAAGCCGCGGCCATCCCTCGCTTGTCCTGCGAGACAATAACCCAGCCACGCCGTGTGCTGGAGAAAATTTCAACATCTTCGGGTTGTGCTCCCCTCCTTTTGGTTGCCGTTCCATCGTTGATCTCGACCCACCGTCCACTCGACGCCTTTAAACCCACACGGACGACTCTTTAATAATTCGCGTCGCTCTTTTCTGAAAAGCGCGCAAAAGGAGCGCTTTAGACGTGTTTTCGCGGGAGGCTCGCGAACGAAAAAACGTGAACACGTGAACACGCGGCAGTGTGCGCCCGCCAGAGACGACGCGGCGGGCTCCGTGATGATCGGGGCACTTCGCAAGCGCCGGCAACGGCGGCATTGGCCCTCCCCACAGACGGGCGCCCTCTGCGGTCCCCGACGCCATGAGTCTGCAATATCGAGTTTGGCGATGCGACGATTATCACGATGCTGGTTTTCCGTGACTTTGCGGCGGTGTTTCCCACTCCGCCGTTTCGTCGTTGTATCTCGCTACGTCCAGCGGGGTCGCGGGAGAGTTCAACTCTATTTGCTAAACACCAGTTTGCTAAACACCAGTTTGCTAAACTCCAGTTTGCTAAACTCCAGTTTGCTAAACACCAGTTTGCTAAACTCCAGTTTGCTAAACTCCAGTTTGCTAAACTCCAGTTTGCTAAACTCCAGTTTGCTAAACTCCAGTTTGCTAAACTCCAGTTTGCTAAACTCCAGTTTGCTAAACTCCAGTTTGCTAAACTCCAGTTTGCTAAACTCCAGTTTGCTAAACTCCAGTTTGCTAAACACCAGTTTGCTAAACTCCAGTTTGCTAAACTCCAGTTTGCTAAACTCCAGTTTGCTAAACTTCAGTTTGCTAAACTTCAGTTTGCTAAACTCACGCCTGCCGTGGGTCTTCAAGCCGTTGCCAACGTATGCTCTGTTAGTGTGGTTAACGCAATGCGGCTGTCAGTTAGAAATCAACGTTCTACAACAGATGGGCCATAGGTTGTGATGGAGCAAGTGAGCCGGCGTGTGTTGCATGATGGCTAATGGCTGTCTGTTTACAAATCCGATTTTTGCTTTAGTCGTTTCGCATCGTATTTCGTCGTGAAACGGGACACAAATTATAACACGGGCGACTTTAAAAAGGGCGGTTACGACGATTGTCGACCATTGATGGGGCAACAGGAACGACGGCGCAAGATTATTTAATCCCCCACCACCGCACGTCCACCCAGCGGCGGTAGGGACGGGTTCGCCGATCGGCAGATCACGAGTGGCGGTGGGGTAAAGTGTGGGTACTCGCATCGCCTTCAAAGGCGCGTGGCCAGCGGGGACGAGTAGGCCAAGGAGGTGGCTCTCTGGCGCTCCCCCTCTTAGAGCGGAGGACCTTCCGCCGGCAGGCACGCTGGCAAACAGTTGCGGGGGCTGCGCCTTTACCACCGTCGTCGTCTCGTCGCCACGTCGCGGCAACCGTACACCACGTGGGGGGTTGGGGGGAGGTGGGGGGTGCGAGCCGCGGGTATCAACGCACAAACGCGCGCACCGCAGCCATAACAAGGGAGCGCTGTTTAGTCTCCGGAGGGGGCCGCTTGCGCGCGGAGCAGGGGAGACGAAAGCTCCTCCCCCGGTCCCCCCCCCCCCCCCACCCACCGCCGTGCGCATGCAGGTCGTGCAGCCGCGTGTTGTCCGACGTTTCGCCTCCACGTCACGTGCTCGGGACCTTCTCCGACGACGTTGCTACCGAATGCCGGCGGTCATCGGCACCGCAGATTGAAGACCCGTCTTCGGAATCCAGTTCCTGAAGGAGGCCTCCCCCCCCCCCCCACCAAGCAGTTGGAGTGAAACGTCGGACATCGTGCCGAACAACACCGCACTGCAAATTCCGGGGATTGTGGATTTTATCGGCGCTACCGATTGGTTGTCGGAATAATTTGGAGGTTTGCGGCATTTACGATCGACCCATTTGTTCAAGGAGTGAAGACGCAGGGAGGGACGAGAGTGAAGCACTTGGCAGGGGTGGACCCTGTCGGTCTGGGGTCCACGGGAGGTGGGGGGGGGGTGGCGGCACCGGCCACGGTTGATTCAACGCACCGCGCTATGAAGCACCACTGACACGCACCATCACCCGGAGAAAAATCCACGCGACCACAGGGAGAGAGACATCGCAAACTCCAAACATACAGCAGGGTGGGGATCGAACCCACCACCTTCTGTATACGAGGCGAGGTAGTTAATATCTTGCCATCACATTCTTCACCACACTCCCTAAACAAACTAAAACTACTTGTAAAATTTTACCAGGTAATGCAGAAGCGACCTGACCATCACTAATGATAGCTCAACGAAGTGGAAATTTATAGCGGTCAAATATCTACGCTACCACAGGGAGAGAGACACGCAAACTCCAAATATGCAGAAGGCGTCAGCGTCGTGATCGAACCCACCACCTCCTCCATACCAGGCGAGGGCGTTAACATCTCCTAGCCACCGTGGTGCCCATCCCTGGCCACGGCTAACATCGGTGGCATGGGTGAAGAATGGCCAAACGAACCCTCCCCCATGACCAACACGGTGAAGGGAGGCCTTCATCCAGTGCTGGAGTCCCAGGTGAGATCGGCATTGGGGATGACTCCTCAAGTAAATAGCAGAGAAGTCGAATCGTCCAAGTGGATTCATGATTGTCTTCCACCTGGATGAAAAACACGAAAACCCCCGGAAGTGTTGCAGGGTCCAAGGGCGAGCCACACAACCCCTTGACCTTTCGGCGATGTCTCGGGTGAACCCTGTGAACCCTTTTCGCAACCACGAGACAAACCCCCCCCCCTCACCCCCCGCCACCCCCCGCCACGCGCCCCCACGTTCTCCAACGAGCGCCGGCGGACGACGGCGGCCGTCGCCATCGGGTGAAAAATTCCACATTCCTATGGCGGGGGCAAAAAAAGACACCGGTTACGACAGCTCGGCCCGGTCCCCTTGATTTAATGGCCTCGATGTTGCGCGCGTGCGTTTCTCACCGCCGCCGCCGCCGCCGCGCTCTGGAATGTTTCCTCGAGCGGGCGGGCGAGCGAACGGGCGGGATTGTTCGCGACGAGCGGCAGCGCCGCGGGGAATTTTCAGCAGGTACAGTGCACGCACGCGTACAGTGCGCGCACTGTACCGGACACGCACCGTTGGTACCCGGCGCTCGGTTCCGCAGCGGAACGGCCGTCGAGTCGACGGCTCCGGCGAGGGACAAGCGCGCGCGGCACGGTGTTACTCTGCTCCGAGCTAAACGGCGGTGGGGAGGCGGCGGCAGGACGAGAGAGGGAATGCGAACGCCGTTGCTGACCCGGGGGACGTCCTCCGTGCCACGGGAGGACAGCGAATGAAGTCCCACGGGGAATTCGGACAACTGGATGCCGCTGGGGGGGGGGGGGGGGGGGGGGGGGGGGGAGAGAATCCCCGACGCGTCGTTCCCGAGCAGTTTATCGCGGGCAGAGCTGAACGCAATCAAGGGCGCGATCGCCCACGGTTTTGGGACAGGACGCGGCTCGGAGAGGAAGAGAGAGGGAAACAGGATTGGTGGCGCAGCGGTTAGCGCATCGCCCTATGACGGCTTGTCACGGCTAACATCAGTGGCGAGTGACGTCTGAGGGGTACGTGGGCGCCCGTACACTGCAGCTCGCACTGACCGTGGCGGATCTCGTTGATTATTCCCAGTTAGAGGCTCTCCCGCGCGGAAGCCAAACTCTCATGGACGGATTTGACCAAACATCCCGATGCAGCAGGACCCTCCTGAAAGGGAGTCTTGGGACTCGGCGGGGCTCCGATGGATAGATGAATGGCGTTGTTGTTGTTGTTGTTGTTTCCGTGTGAACGCTGCAGGAGTTGTGAAAAGGAAGCAATGGGCGACCGTGGCTGCATCAACGTTAACGCCAGCAGTGACCTCTCAAACTTGACCTCTAGCACCCCACCCACCGACCCAAACAGCCACCCACCTACCCAAACACCCACCCAACCACCCAACCACCAAACCAACCACCCACCCATCCACCCACCCGATCACCCAACCACCCACCCAATCACCCACCCAACCACCCACCCACCCATCGCTCAACCAATCGCTTAACCAATCGCCCACCCAACCACCCACCCACCAAATCGCCCAACCAACCACCCAACCACCCACCCAACCACCATACCAATCACCCACTCACCCAAATGCCCACCCACCCAACCACCCAACCACTCACCCACCCAACCACCCACCCACCTAACCACCCACCAAACCACCCACCCACCCAACCAATCGCCCACCCACCCACCAAACCAATCGCCCACCCACCCACCCACCTAGAGACCCCGCCTCCGAACAGACACCACTCTGGGGGCGGGGGGCAGGGAGCCGCCACCGCCCCCCAGGTGGCCGATCCCGACTCCCCGGCGAGGCGGCGTACCGGTGTCGGGGGTCTCGGGCCCGGACGAGGTGGGGGAGGAGCCGTCGCCGGCGGCGTGGCCCCCCGCGGGGGGCTGGGCACCCCGGCAGGGGGGCAGCCTCATGCCCAGGTGCTCGGCGAGCTCGGCGTGGTCGCCCGGGTGCACGTACTCGAACACGCTGCTACCCGTCATCTCCACCTGCACGCACGCACATACACACAGCCACACACACGCACGCACGCACATATCCCCCAGGTAGCCTCTCATAAGATGTATGGGGCGAGGGCTGTTCGCGAGAATCTATGAAGGCCGGCACGGCACACGTGGGGGGTGGGTGGCCAGCGTCGCGCCCGACCGCCTTTGTCTCCCCAGTGGCGGTGTTTGTACACATCGCACCAGGTACTCATTTAGGCTGAGTCGACCTAGGGGAGGTAGGCCCAGGACCAGTTCAGATAATCGTCACTGATGTTGGCCGTGAGCAGGAATCGAACTCGGGTCATCAGGTTCTCAGTGCAGCACGCTAACTGCTACACTAACACAAAGACAAAGATCCCCCGTATAACCTTAACAGACTGTAGGGGCAAGTGCTGTTAGCAAGCGCCTATGAAGGCCGGCACGGCACACGAGGGGGTGGGTGGCCAACACCACTCCCGGCCGCCTTTGTCTCCCTAGCGGCGATGTTTACACATCACACAAGGTACTCATTTGAGGCTGAGTCGACCTAGAGGAGGCCAAGGACCGGTTCAGATAATCGACACCGGTGTTGGCCGTGAGCGGGAATCGAAGCCAGGTCGCCAGGTTCGTAGTGCAGCGCACTAACCGCTACACTACCGCTCACCACCACTCACACAACACATATACAGCCACACATACACACACGTACACACAGACAGCCACACATACACACAGCCACACACACACAGACACTCATTCAGTAGCGTAAGTGGAATGAAAAGTCACTTGCATCCCCAGTGCACTTTCACCTCCCCCTCAATCCCACCCGCCTCCAGCCCCCCTCTCACCTCCCCCTCCGTGAACTCTACCCCGCTAATCCCACCGCTGACTCTCACCTCGCTTTGTCACGCACGCGCAGGCACGCACGCACGCAGCGTAGGCTATGTTTTTGTGTGCAACACGGGCTATGTATTTGTGTGCAACACGGGCTATGTATTTGTGTGCAACACGGGCTATGTATTTGTGTGCAACACGGGCTCTGTATTTGTGTGCAGCACGGGCTATGTATTTGTGTGTAACACGGGCTATGTATTTGTGTGCAGCACGGGCTATGTATTTGTGTGCAACACGGGCTATGTATTTGTGTGCACCACGGGCTATGTATTTGTGTGTAACACGGGCTATGTATTTGTGTGTAACACGGGCTATGTATTTGTGTGTAACACGGGCTATGTATTTGTGTGTAACACGGGCTATGTATTTGTGTGCAGCACGGGCTATGTATTTGTGTGCAACACGGGCTATGTATTTGCGTGCAGCATGGGCTATGTATTTGTGTGCAACACGGGCTATGTATTTGTGTGCGGCACCGGCTATGTATCTGTGTGCAACACGGGCTATGTTTTTGTGTGCAACACGGGCTATGTATTTGTGTGCGGCACCGGCTATGTATCTGAGTGCAACACGCGCTATGTATTTGTGTGCAACACGGGCTATGTTTTTGTGTGCAACACGGGCTATGTATTTGTGTGTAACACGGGCTATGTATTTGTGTGCAGCACGGGCTATGTATTTGTGTGCAACACGGGCTATGTATTTGCGTGCAGCACGGGCTATGTATTTGTGTGCAACACGGGCTATGTATTTGTGTGCGGCACCGGCTATGTATCTGTGTGCAACACGGGCTATGTTTTTGTGTGTAACACGGGCTATGTATTTGTGTGCAACACGGGCTATGTATTTGTGTGCGGCACCGGCTATGTATCTGTGTGCAACACGGGCTATGTATTTGTGTGCAACACGGGCTATGTTTTTGTGTGCAACACGGGCTATGTTTTTGTGCGCAACACGGGCTGTGTATTTGCGTACAACACGGGCTATGTTTTTGTGTGCAACACGGGCTATGTATTTGTGTGCGGCACGGGCTATGTATTTGTGTGCGGTACGGGAGCCACGGCCAGAGCGATGAGTACGTATGTATGTTGAACTTCTTTCGCACCGTACAGAGCCAGATGCGCTAATCGGTGGTGTGGGGGAAGGACAGACTAAAGACAAAGAGCAGTTCTAAAAAAATTCGCTTTCAATTCAGATGAAAAAATGCGGTGGGGCACGTGCCGGGGCCCCGCAATATGTTGTGGGATGCCGACGCCGATGAAGCCGGCCGTAGCGAGCCCCCGATCGCAGGCGAAAGGTGTGATCGAGATGTGAGCTACCTCGCCTGCTACGCAGGAGGTCGTGCTTTCGATCCCGACCCTGACGCCTGATGCTGTATATTTGGAGTTTGCGTGTCTCTCTCTCTCTCTCCGCGTGGTTGCGTGGATTTTTCTCCGGGTTCTCCGGTTTTTCCCCTCCACATTTAGAATGAACGTGCGCACAGGGTACTGCATATGGCTGCTGTAAATGCCCACGTGATGACAAGCCACTTCGTTGCACTGTCATTCGTGGCCAGGTCGCTTCTGACAAAAGAGCTACACAGCTCAGTGGGCCTTACCTGGTAAAAGAGAAACAAAAATGATTTAAGAATAGAAATTCGTTTACTGTTCAGTACAGTGGAAGGGCCTGCGGTGGTGCGAGCAAAGCAATTGCGGGGCTGTGCCTGTGGCCGCAGGCGCACGGGCGCTCCGGCGATGTTGCAGTGCCGGTCTTTGTTTGGAATGTACGAACGCCGCAGGTCCACGCGTCTCACGGGAGCCACGTCCCCTTCACGAACCCCGTCGGAACGCGCGGCGGCGGCGGCGCTGAGCGGCCGGCGCTCGCGAAGGGGTGGTGCCGTAATGTGAGCGCATGCCACGGACCGCTCGCGCGCGCCACAAAATCAATGGGAGTATCGCGGCGAGCGCCCTGACATTTCGTCGTAACGCCAACGCGCTCCTGGGCGCGCGCCGCCTTGACCTTCACCGCGTGACGAGCGCGAGTTCGCTCGTCATCGCCACGAGGTGCGATCCCAGCGCAGAGGGGCCCGGGGAACGGTGCCGGTGTGGAGGGACGGAGTGGGCAGCGCCCCACAGGGTGATAGACTGGGTTGGGCCCCGCGGGCGGCCAGGGCCGATGTCGCGTGACCTTTGAAAACTAACACCCACAGTGAAGGCCAACCCTCTTCCTCCCTCCTGTCAGCCCCCACACCGCATGCCTTCCTTCATGGCAGCACCATGAGACGGATCACCTCGTTTACAATCCCTCGAGAAGGATAATGTCGATGACGCCGCATGTACACGGAGCATCAGAGAGCTGCACCCTCTCTCTCTATCTCTGCCATGTCTCTCTCAAGTGCCCGTGTGTCTTTATCGATCTCTATCCACGTCTCTCTCCTTGCATCTAGAATCCCTAACCAGATGTTAATTCCCTCGCCTGGTATGCAGGAGGTCGCGGGATCGATCCCGACCCTTGACCCCTGTATATTTGGAGTCTGCACGTCCTCCCCGTGGTCACGTGGATTTTCTCCGGGTCCTCCGGTTTTTCCCTTCCACATTTAGAATCTACATTCCTTTCGAGTATATTCTTGTTTCTTTCGGTAAAGTCATGTAGGTAGAAAAAAAGAAATATAAAATAATAAAAGCAAAAAACCCAGGACGTTTCGAGCGGTCTTCATCAGGTGGGTTTTTTTGCTTTTATTATTTTCAATTTCTTTTAAATTTTAATTTTATTTCCTTATTTTTATTTCCTATCTACGTGACTTTACCGAAAGAACCAAGAAAATAAATTCCTGCAGTCACGAAAGTTTTAAGTCAAAATTCATTTCGAGTATTTGGACGTTCTATAAATGTCCACGTGACAAGCCACTCCAGTGAGCTCTCGGCTGTGATGGCAAGGATGGCTTCTGAAACGCAGCAACGTAGCTGAATGGGCCTCACGCCTGCAAAAAAAAAACGTTCATTCAGTCAGGTCCGTCTGGGTCGGCAACCCGGAATATTTGACCACACCCAGCACACCACGTCCAGGATTGGCTCTCGCTGCGGCTGCGGCAAAAACCCGGCTCCCAATCCGCTCTGTCTCTGCGGTCACCGGGAGCTTCCGCCGCGGACCTCCCGGGAACTTTCCGGCGACGTTGAGCAGCACCTCCAGAGGTTACGTTTTTTAATTGCTATAGGGAAGAGGATCGAGACAGAACCACGGCGCTTGTGGTTGCGGGGTTTGGCGCCGTGGCTGTGCGGGGTCTCGGGCCTGCTGCCTGCCGCCTCCATGACCAGAGAGAGAGACGGCCGTGTCACCAAGAGGAGGCCGGGCGGCCCAGAGGATCACAGACGCTGAGCCGGCAAACGCTCAAGAGCCTGGGTTCAAATCCGGATCCGAGCCTCTGCCTGCGATTGAACCGGGGGGGTTTCTCAGTTGCGGCGAGTTGATAGCTTCAGACCCGGTCACCGAAAAAAAACCCATCGCATTAAAATCCCATATCGAAGAGAGAGGATCCTTGCCGATGAACGTCGGGCAGTTCATCAGGGGTGGTTGAAGCCGGTCCAGAGTTTGCTTGTGTTGGACCAACGCTGCTGAGATGATGCAAGCCTTTAGATGGCTACGTGGCTAATGGGACGTGTAGAAAAATAAAAAATGTTATTTATGCAGAGGGACGGACATGGGAAGGGGCTGTGTCATTGTCTGCTTCGTTATTTTATTAAACTCAATGAGTTTCTGCACCTCTCTCAACGCAAGATGCCGACTAACTCTTTGTCCATTACAAACTTCTTCACAAGAGCTGTCTGTTGCTGGCCGCTTGGCGAGACTCGGCGCGTTTTAAGTCCCCTCCGCTGACTCCGCGCCAGCTGGAGGCACCGCCACCCCTGCTGATTGCCGCTCACAGCCGCTTAAAGTTCAGAGCGGAGGGGGCAGCGGAGGCGGTGAAGGCGGTGGGGGTGGACGAGGTGGAGGGGCAGGAGGGGGCGGAGGGGGCGGAGAGGATGGAGGGAGGGAGCAGAGGGGATGGAGGCGAGGGATGGGGCATTTCGCGCAAAGGAACCGGAATTCTCCCCATCACTGAGACAGCGCGTGGTACGAGAGTCGGGAATTATGACATCCGCAAAGATGTGCAAACACCCGTTACGCCGAGCCACGCCGAGCCACGCCGAGCCACGCCGAGCTGACATGGCACGGCGATCTCACGGCCCCGGCACGCCGCCAACGCCGCCACCGCTGCCACCCGTGGAATTTCCCGCGTCATTCTCATGCAAACGAGGACGACCTCGGGGGCGCGGGGGACGGTCCCAGTGGGGAGGGGGGGGGGAGTGCAGGGGGCGGGCGGGAGGATGGTTCCTGGGGGGGGGGGGTGGGGATCTGGCCGGACGCTTCATACAGAGAGAAAAAAACTCGCCACCGTCGTCATCGTCATCATCATCATCGGTGGCAGTGTCCTCTAGACTCGAGTGGAGACATCGTCGTCCTGTCGTTGGCGGTGGTCGCGATGGAACGGTGGTGGCCGTGTCACTGGTTTACCCCGGAGAGTCTCACCAGGAGACCAAACGAATTGTTTTTTTATTACACCAGGTAAGGCCCGGCTGAGCTATATAGCTCTTTTTCAGAAGCGACCTGACCAACAAATGAGATCTCAACAGAGCGGCTCATCACGTGGAAATGTATAGCCGCCAAAAACTCTAAAACGCACGTTTATCGATGTGGAGGGGGAAAACCGCAGGACTCGGAGGAAAATCAACGCAGCCACGTGGAGAGGGAGAGACACGCAAACTGCAAAGGTACAAAAGGCGTCAGAAGTTGGCATCGAACCCACGACCTGCTGTGCACCAGGCGAGGTAGTTCACATCTCGCCACCGTGCCGCCCTTCGCGTCACCGGGAGATTCTCGCCGGAAGATTCTCGCCGGGAGAGTCTCGCCGGGAAAGACTCGCCGGGAGAGGCTCACCGGGAGATTGTCACCGGGAAAGTCTCGCCGGGAGAGTCTCGCCGGGAGAGTCTCGCCGGGAGAGTATCGCCGGGAGAGTCTCGCCGGGAGTGGCTCGCTGGGGGATTCTTGCCGGGAGAGGCTCGCCGGGAGATTCTCGCCGGGAGAGTCTCGCCGGGAGAGTCTCACCGGGAGATTGTCACCGGGAAAGTCTCGCCGGGAGAGTCTCGCCGGGAGAGTTTCGCCGGGAGAGTCTCGCCGGGAGTGGCTCGCCGGGGGATTCTTGCCGGGAGAGTCTCGCCGGGAGATTCTCGCCGGGAGAGTCTCGCCGGGAGATTCTCGCCGGGAGAGGCTCGCCGGGAGAGTCTCGCCGGGAGAGTCTCGCCGGGAGTGGCTCGCCGGGAGAGTCTCGCCGGGAGAGTCTCGCCGGGAGATTCTCGCCGGGAGAGTCTCGCCGGGAGAGTCTCGCCGGGAGAGTCTCGCCGGGAGAACCTCGCCGGGAGAGTTTCGCCAGAGCCACGCATTGGGAAGTGTGGTGAAATATTAAATTTTATTCAAGAAGAGTTTAACTGCGTGTGGGAAGAATCACAGATTACGTTCAACAAACCGCCCACGGCATCCGGAGGGGATAACGTAGCTCGTGGGGGGGGGGGGGGATATTAAGAGAGGGAAGGAAGGAGGGATTTAGTGAACGAGGGAGTGAGTGAGTGATTGATGGAAGGAGGGAATGAGTGATAGGAGTGAGTGATTGATGGAAGGAGTGAGTGATTGATGGAAGGAGGGAATGAGTGAGTGAGTGATTGATGGAAGGAGGGAATAAATTAGTGAGTGATTGATAGAAGGAGGGAATGAGTGAGTGATTGATGGAAGGAGTGAGTGAGGGAGTGAGTGATTGATGGAAGGAGTGAGTGAGAGAGTGAGTGAGTGATTGATGGAAGGAGTTAGTGAGTGAGTGATTGATGGAAGGAGTGAGGGAGTGAGAGAGTGATTGATGGAAGGAGTGAGTGAGGGAGTGAGTGAGTGATTGATGGAAGGTGTGAGTGAGGGAGTGAGTGCGTGATTGATGGAAGGAGTGAGTGAGTGAGTGATTGATGGAAGGTGTAAAACAGTGAGTGAGTGATTGATGGAAGGAGTGAGGAAGTGAGTGAGTGATTGATGGAAGGAGTGAGGGAGTGAGAGAGTGATTGATGGAAGGAATGAGTGAGGGAGTGAGTGAGTGATTGATGTAAGGAGTGAAGGAGTGAGAGAGTGATTGATGGAAGGAGTTAGTGAGGGAGTGATTGAGTGATTGATGGAAGGAGTGAGTGAGGGAGTGAGTGTGTGATTGATGGAAGGAGTGAGTGAGTGATTGATGGAAAGGAGTGAGGGAGTGATTGATGGAAAGGAGTGAGGGAGTGAGTGAGTGATTGATTGAAGGAGTGAATGAGGGAGAGAACGAGGGAGTGAGTGAGTGAGGGAGGGGGGAAGGGAGGGGGGAGGGAGGGAGGGGGGAGGAAGGACGAGGGGAGGGGGGAGGGAGGGAGAGAGGGAGATGGGGGTAGGGCCTGTCACCTGTGAGAGGCCCAGGTAGATGGACACCGTCTCGGAGATGTAGAGAAAGCGGCCGTCCTGCGTGAGCGCGAACACAAAGCCGTCCAGTGCCTGCGGACAAGCGACACACGGCGAGACACAGACACAGTGAGACACAGACACAGCGAGACACAGACACAGTGAGACACAGACACAGTGAGACACAGACACAGTCAGACACAGTGAGACAGACACAGCGAGACAGACACAGGGAGACACAGACACAGTGAGACACAAACACAGTGGGACACAAACACAGTGAGACACAGTGAGACACAGACACAGTGAGACACAGACACAGTGAGACACAGACACAGTGAGACACGGACACAGTAAGACAAAGACACAGTGAGACACAGTGAGACACAGACACAGTGAGACACAGACACAGGGAGACACAGTGAGACACAGACACAGGGAGACACAGTGAGACACGGACACAGTGAGACACAGACACAGTGAGACACAGACACAGTGAGACACAGACACAGCGAGACACAGTGAGACACAGACACAGTGAGACACAGACACAGCGAGACACAGACACAGTGAGACACAGACACAGGGAGATACAGTGAGACACAGACACAGGGATACACAGTGAGACACGGACACAGTGAGACACAGACAGAGTGAGACACAGACACAGTGAGACACAGACACAGCGAGACACAGTGAGACACAGACACAGTGAGACACGGACACAGTGAGACACAGTGAGACACGGACACAGTGAGACACGGACACAGCGAGACACAGACACAGTGAGACACAGACACAGTGAGACACGGACACAGCGAAACATAGTGAGACACGGACACAGTGAGACACGGACACAGTGAGACACAGACACGGCGAGACACAGACACAGTCAGACACAGACACAGCGAGACACAGTGAGACACGGACACAGTGAGACACGGACACAGTGAGACACAGACACGGCGAGACACAGACACAGTGAGACACAGACATGGCGAGACACAAACACAGTGAGACACAGACACAGACACAGCAAGACACAGTGAGAGAGTGAGACACAGACACAGTGAGACACAGACACAGCGAGACACAGACACGCCGAGACACAGACACAGTGAAACACAGACACAGCGAGACACAGACACAGTGAGACACAGACACGGCGAGACACAGATACAGTGAGACACAGACACAGCGAGACACAGACACAGACATGGTGAGACACAGACACAGTGAGACAGTGAGACACACAGCGAGACAAACAGTGAAACACAGACACAGCGAGACACAGACACAGCGAGACACAGACACAGCGAGACACAGACAAGTGAGACAGTGAGACAGTGAGACACACAGCGAGACAAACAGTGAAACACAGACACAGCGAGACAAAGAGTGAGACACAGACACAGCGAGACAAACAGTGAAACACAGACACAGCGAGACACAGACACAGTGAGACAGTGAGACACAGACACAGCGAGACACAGAGTGCGACACAGCGAGACGTAAAGTGAGGCAAGTGGGACATGGAAAGGCACGGGGTCAGAGACTCCCAGCCGCACCGCACGGCGCAGGGTCAAGGTTGGACTCCCGCTACGGGCCGCAGGTTAACTGGCGATGGCGCCGCTGACAGAACACGCTCGGTCGCGTCTGTCAATCCGCTGCTGGATGAATGCCTCCCCCACGCCACGTCGCTCAAGCGAGGCGTTCGACCAAACTCCGCCAGGCTGGTCAGTGCTGGTGCGTGAGAGGTGGGCGGGGAAGGGGAGAGAGGGTGGAGGACGACCCTTGGGGCTAATTCAGATATCGCCGGCGTCGGGACCGTGACCGGGAATCGACCTGGGGGTCCTCTCGGGCAGCGTGCCGACCACGAACTCAGCCTCCTCCCCGCTCCTCGGCGTCACGCAAGTTCAAAATCCCCATCCACGGATCCGAGTCGCCGGCGCCTTCCCCGCGGTTTGTCACCGGCGAGATTCCCGCGGCTCCCCGCGGTGCCCCGCGGCTCCCCGCGGCTCCCCGCTACTCTCCCCCCCCCCCGCCTCCCGCCCAACGTCAACCCACGATCGCCGCAACCCGCGAACCGCGCCGCGATCGAACGAACGTTGGGAACGGCAGCTCGATAGCGAGAGGGATGGGCGGGGGAGGTTACAAACTCCCCCTGCCCCTCTCGCTCCGTTGTCAAATGTCCGGCGCCGCGGATTTATCGAGGGCCAAGCTCCTCTTGTAAGGGCGGCCACGAGCCTCCCGCGGGAAAATCGATAGTTTCATCAGCATGCGCCACGGGGGAGAGATTCCGAGAGTCGATAGGGCGCTGCCCCGGGCAGAGGCAGCAGACACGGACAGCAGACGCAAGCAGAAACAATCACCGCCACTACCGCCAACACGGCCACCACCACCACAACACTGCCACCACTACCAAAAAATACAAAGATCCCCCGTATAGCCTGAAACAGACTGTTGGGGCAAGTGCTGTTAGCGAGCACCTATGAAGGCCGGCACGGTACACGAGGGGGTGGGTGGCCAGCACCACGCCCGGCCGCCTTTGTCTCCCCAGTGGCGATGTTTACACACCGCACCCAGGTACACATTTGAGGCTGAGTCGACCTAGGGGAGGCCCAGTACCGGTTCAGATGTTCGTCACCGATGTTGACCATGAGCGGGAATCGAACTCGGGCCGCTGGGTTCGTAGCTGCAGCGCGCTAACCGTTGCGCCACCGCTCCTCACTACCACCAACGCTACCACTACAGCCGCCACCACTACCAGCACCATCACCGCCACCACTCCTACAAACGCTCCTACCACTAACACCACCACCACCGCTGCCTCCACCACTAACAGCGACGCCGCTACTACCGGCACATCAATAATGGCACCACCACTACCAACGCCACCACAGCCACTGCTGCAATGACATCTTCAATCTGCTACACGACGCCTCACCAGACGGTGCCTTGCTACTCACCACGCGGCACACCTCACAGTGCACCTCACCAAACACACAGCGCAACTCACTCCTCACCACACATCGCCTCACTATCATCGCACAAATGACACACCTCACTCCTCACAACACTCCTCACCTCACTCCTCACAACACTCCTCACAACACTCCTCATCTCACTCCTCACCTCACTCCTCATAACACTCCTCACCTCACCCCCCCCCTACACCCCCGCCCCCCCTACTTCGCCAACCTGTGGTGACCCACAGACTCACACAGAGACGCACAGACTCACACAGAGACCCACAGACTCACACAGAGACTCAGACTCACAGACTCAAGCAGAGACCCACAGACTCACAGAGAGCCCCAGACTCACAGAGAGACGCACAGACTCACAGAGAGACGCACAGACTCACACAGAGACGCACAGACTCACACAGAGACGCACAGACTCACACAGAGACCCACAGACTCACACAGAGACTCAGACTCACAGACTCAAGCAGAGGCCCACAGACTCACAGAGAGCCCCAGACTCACAGAGAGACGCACAGACTCACACAGAGACGCACAGACTCACACAGAGACGCACAGACTCACACAGAGACGCACAGACTCACACAGAGACCCAGACTCACAGAGAGACGCACAGACTCACACAGAGACGCACAGACTCACACAGAGACGCACAGACTCACACAGAGACGCACAGACTCACACAGAGACGCACAGACTCACACAGAGACTCACAGACTCACACAGAGACGCACACTCACAGATACGCACAGACTCACAGAGACGCACAGACTCACACAGAGACGCACAGACTGACACAGAGACCCAGACTCACACAGAGCCGCACAGACTCACAAAGAGATGCACAGACTCACACAGACGCACAGACTGACACAGAGACGCACAGACTGACACAGAGACGCACAGACTCAAACAGAGACGCACAGACTCAAGCAGAGACCCACAGACTCACACAGAGACGCACAGACTCACAGAGAGACCCACAGACTCACAGAGACGCACAGACTCACACAGAGACCCAGACTCACAGAGAGACGCACAGACTCACACAGAGACCCAGACTCACAGAGAGACGCACAGACTCACACAGAGACCCAGGCTCACAGAGAGACGCACAGACTCACACAGAGACGCACAGACTCACACAGAGACCCAGACGCACAGACTCAAGCAGAGACGCACAGACTCACACAGAGACGCACAGACTCACACAGAGACGCACAGACTGACACAGAGACGCACAGACTCGCACAGAGACCCACAGACTCACACAGAGACGCACAGACTCACACAGAGACGCACAGACTCACACAGAGACGCACAGACTCACACAGAGACGCACAGACTCACACAGAGACGCACAGACTCACACAGAGACCCACAGATTCACACAGAGACGCACAGACTCACACAGAGACCCACAGACTCACACAGAGACCCAGACTCACAGAGAGACCCACAGACTCACAGAGAGACGCACAGACTCACACAGAGACGCACAGACTCACACAGAGACCCACAGACTCACACAAAGACCCTTCTGCCCAAATAGTGTTTAGGTCTTTCCCCTTGGCCCCTGGACTCGTGGAGACCGCTCCGATGCCATCTCAGCACGCGGCCCTCCCCCATGCCGCGCACGCGCATCCCACCCCAGCCAGCGAAACACAACAAAGCTGCTGCTCATGCGAACACTCAGTAGGCTTTCGCGACCAATATTATCCACAGTAGAGGTTTATTTTGGGTTAGATCGCGTAACTGTAAGCGTGTCAGTTTAACACGTACGCTTTCGTGACCAATATCCATCTACGCCTCTATATAAGGAACGAAACGGGTGGACTTCTCCCCGAATCTGTCTGTCGCCTGATGAAGCCGGTTGTAATTACTGGGGAAACTTCACGGTGCCCAGATCGTAAATGTTGTGGCTTGGCGCTCCGACACACAACCGGTTAGTGCTGTACTAGTGACGAATTGGTCACGTTCTGTTTACGTGACAACCCTTACTAGTTGGCTGCGTCGGGTGGTGGCGGGTTTTAACGACACAACATTCATATATTCACGCGACCTAATCCACGCCCCCGCGCCCTCTATTAAGCATACTCTGCTGCT